AAGCAAACAAAATTTTTGAGCATTAAAAGATCAATGGCTCCCAGTTTTGCATGCACAAAAATAGTGAATTTCTTCTTGGAATTCAGCATTTCAAGAACCAAAGTGAAACTTTGAAAATCTGCAATCCAAGAAGTCTAAGAAGAAAATATATAACTTTATGAAAAGAAAATTTTAAATAAAACTTATAAAATCTACTAAATACACTATTGAAGGGAGACAATTCTAATACCATAGTTTGGATTTCTTTTTATTAGGTGAATTTTAAATTTGTGGTTTTTTGTTTGTTTGTTTCTTTTCCAGTTTGTTTCTTTGTAAGGGTCAACTGTATGCTTTATATCTCTCAACATTCAATGTCACCAATACTCTTCCCATCAAACATCACCATGATCCCATTAAGACATATGGTCAGGAAGATTTATGAAATAATTTCTCTACTGCAGTTCTTAAAGTTATTTAAATGTAAACAATGCATAGTTTAATTGATTATATTTTTAGAGAATATAAGAAAGACTTTTCTTACCATAGCACCAATAACATAAAAGTAGAAAAATATTATATCTACGATGCCATAAATTGTTGTAAAAAGTTATGTAATTGTGAATTTATGCCAACTACTTGGCATATTAAGATGTGTATAACATGGTTATGTTATAAAAGTAGGATAAAGCAGGATATGCTGAGTACCAGTATGAACATTTTTCCCAGCTTCAGATGGTGTAAACATATTATCAATATCTACTTAATTAGGAAATTATAAATTCAAAATAAATTTATTTTATGCTGTACTTTTGATAGGTTACAAGAAGTTTCCTGTCTGCACAGTCAAAATATTATCCAAGCAATTCAGGTTGTCAGTAAAAGCTTAAACAAATTTGCTGATAATCCTGTTAATGACCTAGGTCAAGTGTTAACTGTTGTGGGTTATAAAACAGTAAAATTAGTTTCTAGTTTCTAGTACCTCCAGGCAAAAAGCACACTTACAGAAAGATCAGAACAAAACTATTAAATTACAGAAATATACAAGTCATTCAGTTGAGTGTAATATGGAGCAATTAGAAACCACTTGCCATTGAAATAAAAAGGTTTTCTTTCCAAAGATTATATATGTGTACATGTATAGATGTGGTTTATTATATATGTATCTATATACACATAAATATACATAAATGTTTACATGTATGGGTGTATGTATTAGTTGAAATAATGGAATGAGAGTTTTCTATGTACTTTTCAAGCATAGTGTATTTGGAATATTAAGGACTGACAGTTGAAAAGTTTTCTTCCATAGTAGGAAAAAACAAATATTAATAAAATGTTAATTCTTACTGATATTTACCTATTACTTAATGGGCAGTTCATACTGAACTTTATTGCACATTCACTAGCTTTTCTTTTAAACAAAACTATGCCATTAGGTGATCAGAAAATTTCAAGAACCTAGGGAGTTGATGAACTGGGAAATATGTTTTGTTTAGAAATGACTCCATATAGCACTTTATGAAGTGACACATTTTTGTGATTTGGTATATGCTAACATATCAAGGACCAATGATTTATTATTTTTAAACAACCAATAGTGTATCTGCATACCAAATGTGCAAGTCCTTCCAGAAATATTTTATACTATATTTACATATAACTATATTGTTCTAATTTTTACGGTGTTGAACTTTATAAGATTTAATTTCACTGTTGAGGTGTTGCACTATGTCAATGTCATGGTAATACAAATGCATGAACATTTGCAGGAAAAAAAACAGCATTTTTACATTTTGATGAATAAATTTGGCTCAATTAGCTTTAAACCAGAAGCTTTGAAAAATAGCAAATTGTTCAGTGAATATTTTGTCCTATCCTAAATGAGACAAAATCAATAACATCAAAGTGTTCATCACTGTTTTCTCATAGTTTTTTACTCATCCATTCTTATAATTCATGGGAAAGATGGGGAGTGGTTTGGAAAAGACAAGTCAAGAGAGGGAGATGCAAATCTCTAAATATTAATTACCATACAATTCTTGTATTATCATTTTTCCTTATGAAAAGGAGTAGTTTTTCATTTAGGGCACTATTGTCTGGATGTTAGGTCAACCTGAGAAACAAAAAGGTTCTACAATTGAAACCTTAAGTTCAAGTTCATGCTAAAGGGTTTAGATTTGTAGATTGTCCAGATATGCAAATTATAAACGTATCTTTTTAATTGTTTTCAGGGACTTTGGTTATAAAGTATTATGCAAACAAAAACAAATTTATAATTCTGCTTAAATTTTTTTCTAAATTCATTTTTATTGTCCTAGATACCAAGCATTTCAGTTTTTACATTAATTCCCAAATCTTTAAATCAGAAAAGATCACGTGCCTATTAATCTAATGACAAGCTTTAGATCTTTTCTTTAGTTCTTTTATCATTCATTATTTTATGAGATCTCAAAAAATATCCAAAAGACATGCTTCTTCACTAGAATACAAGTGAAATTGATAATCCAAACAATTTTCTAAATGGGATCTGATAAATGAGTTTTAAGTTCTTTAGTGGTAGATCACAATTATGTAGAACTTTAAGGTTTAAGTATACCCTGTACTTTATGAAAAAACTAAGTTCAATGTGAATCTTCCTTGTACAATATTTCCCCAAATAAAATGCCAAAATTACTATGCAACTGAGATGGGGGGGAAAGGGGAAGCAGGGACAGTACATTATTAACATTATTAGGAAAATGACCCAAATTTTCAGAAGTGTCTCAATCTGTTCAAATTAATGTCTTCAGAAAATGGCATGTGTGTTTTACGTGCCAATGTTTTATTTGCCAGTAATGCGGAATCTGTGAAGTTTTATATTTTCTAACACAACTGCACTAATACTAAGTATTTTTTTTTCTAATCAAATATTTGCACAAACCTTAGACTAGGCTAATAAATTTATTTACATCCATAAAAGTTTATATTTTAGTTTTTATTCCAAAGGAAATAGGAAAGCCTATAAGAGAAAGGAAAAGTTGCTTTTGGGACGATCCTCTGGAAGGATTAATTGTTTTATGAATGATAGAGGAATTTTCACAAAATAAAACAGCAAATATAGTAAAATATTTTAATATATTCATGTGAGTATTTATGTAACATACAGATGCAGGTGTTAAAAGCACACTATATGCACACATTTGTGAACATATGGATGTACCTAAAGTATGCTTTCAACACATATGTGTACATCTCTAAGTTCATATTTACATACAGTATGGCTTCAACCATTCTTTGAGTGTATGCATACATATAATATAGTTTCAATAATAATTAAGTCCCTGAAATGGATTATTTTTTAAATATTTTGTTAATTATGACAGTCTAATTATTAGATCATCAATCTTACAGTTTTACACGGTTACATCTTCTACAAACACAAAAATCTCCAGATTATTTACATACATGATCACTAAAAGCAGTTAACTTAATAGTTTATTAATCTCCCAAATGAATACCACTTATCAAGCAGGTGTAGAAAGAACAATATTGTTTTCTATTTTAAATTATGCACAATATTTAATTCCCTTAATTCATTTAAAATTTTAAAATCTGATTTTTATTCATCAGGTAAAAAATAACCGAGACTGCCTTTCCTCCAAAAAGAGTTGGCTATTAAGACCTAACTATTAATTTGGTCTACAGAGGAATCTAATGGATGGAAATGATTTTTGTGATCTTTACATATTAGCATATTCAGTTTCACAATTTAGTGAGGATGAAAGTCTAAAAAAAAAATTCATAAATCTTTATGCATTATCTGCTATAATTAAATGGCCAGACTATAAACAAATTTCATAAATACAGAAGCTTAATTTTATTCTTTCCTTATCAATGAAAGTAGGTCACTAAAAAGAGTGTCAATCTTCTTATTTAATGAAAAAGTTTCAAAACATTTTAAATTGTCCATTGAATTTAATATTTATAAATAAAAAGCTTAATATTGACTTAACTATCATTGACCAAATAACAAATGTTTAATTTTATTATTATTTGAAAATCATAATTACTAATAAGACATCAAAGCTTCAAGTTCTTCTTTATGCACCCAGTTATTCAATGAAATGTACATGATGGTTAAGCATTGTCCCCATGAACTTTATATTCAAGATAGATTAGGAAGATAGATTAGAAAATGATAAAGTACCTAATAAGTATGCAGTATTACAGAAAAGATAGAAGCGATTAACATTGGTTTTGCATATTTATTAGGTGAAGAGGTATGTACACCCCTTGTAAGGAGGAAAATTCGATATCAACAAAGTGCTATTCACATTTTTTCTGGGCTTCCGACTTGCTAAATCACCTCATCTGCCTCAGATCTATACACAATTTAATATATTTGTTTATTTTCACATGCACATATTCAAACCTAAGCTTCCCGAAATTCCTATAAATGTTATTTATACGGATGATGGCACATGTCTGTTTCTCGCAGTGAAACATCACCTCTGTGAGATGCACTGAACTTCAATATCTAGGCAGTAAAGTAATCACAACATAAATACACCAAATCTCTTTACCCAACTACAGGCTCCTTTTACTCCATCCAAAAAAAAAAAGCCACAGTTCTTAATATATTTTACCTATTTTTAGGAATGAGCTAAAGATTTGGAGATAAAGAAAAGTACATTTTTTTTCCTGTTAAACTTATTCTCTAGGGATCACACAGTCATAATTAGATACTAAAATACCTCTTGGGCTATTTGGCAATTAACATACTGTAGTGTGAAAATTCGAGCCTTTTTTTTTTCTTTTTCTGCTGCATAATTTGCAAATAATGCAATTGTTTGAATTGGCATACAACTGAAAACATATTCTGAAGATTTATGTTTCTCAAATGAAAATAAAAGCACATCTTCGGTTTACTTCCAGTGCAGTTTCATCCTGTGCTACTTTAAAAGAGTGAATAAGGTTTCAATCAGAATGTACAACATTAAGGAGTGGAAGAGTTTTGATTGTCATGCCTGTGCTGTGCTTACCTTCATTGGTAGGCTGGATAATCAGTTCCCCAAAGCAGCTGCGAGCTGAGCAGATGAGAAAGAGGAGGATGGAGATGTGACAATCCATGTTGCTGGAGCAGAGGGCAGTGAGAAGAGCATATCTCCATGAAGCATGCCACTGATGTGAGGGGGAGAGCTCTGATTGCTGGAGAAGTTACCATGCTCCGCTTGCAGGCTGATGTCAAGTTTGACACTGAAGATAAGGAGGAGTCTTACTGCCTTTCTGCAAGCCTTGCAGGGAGACTCTCACTGGGTCCTAGTGCCCCAGGTACTTACCACTAAAGGAACAGGAGGGCATGCTGATCAGACAGACACAGGGAGTAAGGCAGTCACTGATGAGAAACAGCAAGAAAAAAATCACAAATGGAACAGGAAATCTAGAAGTTGTTGGGAGAGAATGAGGGATGAGGGAGGACTGGGACAGACTATGTTTGTTTTCAATGTAAAGCCACTATTTTATTGTTTGTTATGCTTGCTTTGTAGTTTAATTTGTGAAGAAATCGGATACCTTGGCAAGGAGTATCCTATAATAGTATAGAAAAAGGAAGAAACATATATATGTTTTTTAAATGTACTGGCTTTAGAGCAAAGGGAACATTTCATTTGAACCCCCCCCGCCCAAAAAAAATCAGATTGCTTTATTTGAGAGGGGTATTAGGGGAATCCAGTCTACCTTTTAGTGGTAGAGAGTAGCAATATACTCCCCAAGAACCGTTGGAACCCCAACTTTAGTTGACTAAACCTGTCTGCCTTCCTGAATCAGCTCAAACTGAAATTTCCTAAAGGGAACTATGTGAAATTCCTTTAAAAGTTATTCTATATGCTTCTATTTTTTTTTAAGACCCAAACCTCAGCCACACACACTTTATTAACTTGTGGCTAATTACCTTCCAGGGCCCCAATTTCTGAAAATCTCTAGTTTTAGATGAAATGCTATTTTAAAAAATACATACTTATGTAAGTTTTTAGATAAATATATATGCGACATTGTATTCTCCCAAACTGAGAAACAATCGCAGGATCCAAAGAAGAGCCCAAAGTGGAGCTTAATATTCTGATCTTGCCTTGTACGTTGTGATTGTTTTTTTGTTTTTTTCATCATGTGTATAAATGACAGTAACACAAATCAAACCTACAGTTCCTGACGATAAATCACTGAATTCCCTCTATCACCCTTCTCCCTTCTCATGTAGCATTAACATCTCTGGGGTCTTTGAAATAAACAGTGGCATAATTCACTATTCCCTTCAACATTTTATTCATTTGCCATCTGATAATATTCAATTACTGTTCTCTCTTGTACCAACTACAACTATTGTAGAAAGTTGTAATGCCATTGCAGCTTTTCCCCTTTCATTAGAGGGTGGTTAGGAAAATTGTAGATCTTATTTTCAATTCCCTTGTTATATAATAAAATAACTCATTACAATAAAAGGATTTTATCATTCTAAGCATTAAGACAATTTATATTCCAAGAAGCATTCCACGGTGTCCCCATGCTATTACCAAACAAATGCCTATTTTCTCACAGAGAGACCTATCTTGTATCTGCCACCCATATGGAAAAGAAAAGCAAGATGTTTTCCTCACGGAAGTTTCCTTCCCCTATTTTAGTGGTGGTGTATTTGAGATACAACCACAGAAACACGGCTTCATTAAGGACTTCAAGAATACTGATCAGTTTCAAAGCTGGAGGCTGTGAGTGGTTTAGATAAAATCATAGGGTTATGTGCATATGTTTACAAGGATCACAGAATTTTGACTAGTAAAAGGACAAAGTTGAGGATTATAGATTTATAGCTAGAAAAGTGTAAAGGTCATATAGTTCAAATCTCTCACTTTACAGATGAACTGAGGCCCCCGACAGGTTAAATAATCTACTTGCTGTCACACAGCAAGTCAGTGGTAGATTGAGGATTCAAATCAAACTTTTCTGAGTCCAAATTCAACATTCTTTCCATATACTATGCTGTCACAAAAGATTTTAGAAATTCATTGCTTAAAGCACTTCTTTAATTAACAAGTAGGGCAACTAAGTGGCACAGTGAAGAGAGCTGGGGGTCTGGAGTCAGTAAGATTTGAATTCAAAGCCATCTCAGACACTTACTACTGTGTGACACTGGGCAAGTCACTTAACCCTGTTTGCCTCAGTTTCCTCATCTGTCTAGAGAAGGAAATGGCAAACTACTTCAGTATCTTTGCCAAGAAAACCCCAAATTGGATCACAAAGAGTTGAACACAACTGAAACAATTGAACAATTCAGTAGTAACTGATTCTGTGAATTAATACAACTTGTTTGTATATAACCATTTGCATGTTGTTTCCTCCATCAGACTAGGATCTCCTTGGGAAAGGGACTGCTTTTGTTCCTTTGTTTTTATTTGTCTTTTTTTTTTTATCTTGTCCTTTCTTTCTATCCCTGGTAGTTAGCACAATGCCTAGCACCTAATAGGTGATTAACAAATACATCTTGACTGACTGACTTCCATGAACACTTTTCACATAAGATTCTTGGCTGCTTGGCACCGACTGGGTTGAGACAAGGAAGCAAGTATGAATGTTCTACCCCAGGCCTCCAATACCTCTATTGATTTCTTCATTTTCCTCTACCTTATATAGGTAGACCTTAGAATTCATCTAGCGCAGTGGTGTCGATCTCAAATAGAAATGGGAACCACATACTTAAGGATACCTTTGGGTAGTAATTTTCAAATCTAATAATATATATGTTTAAATGTATTTTTATTTGGTTAAATATGTCCCAATTACTTTTTAATTTGGTTCAAGCATCACTCAGGAGTGCTATGGCTGTGACTGACACATCTGATCTAGCTCAGTCCCTTCATTTTAAAGATGAAGAAATTAAGACATTAGAGGATAAATGATTTGAACTAGGTCTTTCTGATTCCAAATCTAGATCTCTATCCACTACACCATGCTGCCTCCTTACTCATTTAGGCTAAGGACACAAATCTGTCGGCAAGGGACAAACTTAGTACATAGGAAATGTAATAACTTCCCACTAAGCAAATTTTCAAAAGACATTGTAGGTAGTATCCTTTTGGCATTTTTCCAGGATTCTAGTGTACCTGTAGTCTATTTGGGAGAAATAGGCAATAACTATCTGGTTCTTCTTCTGAATCAAAGTTGTTTTTTTGTTTGTTTGTTTGTTTGTTTGTTTAAGCTTTAAACACCAAACTTGAGAGGAAAGAAAATCCCAAATTTAAGTTTTAATCATTCTTCCCTTCTTCTCCCCTTTCTTCTACTCTCTGTTTCCCTTTCCTCCTTCCCTCCCTCCTTCCCTCCTTCTTTCCTTCCATTAGACTGTGAGCTTCTTTAGGGCAGGGACTATTTTTTGCCTCTTTTTGTCTCCCCAGTGCTTAGCAGACTACCTGGCACATAGTAGGTGCTTAATAAATTTTATTAACTATCTATTGTTTTTTTTCTGTTTGTTATGTTTGTATCTTTCTCTCACATTAATTTCTTACTTAAACTTTCAGACTTGGAGACAGAGTTTGGACAATAAAATGAACTTTTTCATGACATAAGGGAATAGAAATGCTCTGTTACCCAAAAATATTCTGTAACATACTTTGGCATAATAGAAATTTGCTCAAACTGTATTGAGAAAACAATTGACCAGTGCCAATTGTTGTTATACCTTAAAAACATCTACACATAAAACAGTTTTCAGAGCTGCTGACTAGATATTTATATCTCACTTTGCATCTGCACTGTCCTTCTCAAAGTCCATGTCCACTATAAGTTAGACCAGCAGCTTGAGCTTCTCTTCTTTTCAATAGTTGGTTTCTCTAACACAGAAATGTCACAGGCAGTCAGTTCCATTCAATGAACCCAGGACGTCTATACTTCTCAAATTCATTAGAGTGCTTCCAAGCCTCGATATGCCCACCTATGATGTCAAATCCACTTAGGAAAGAAAACACATAAAAAAAGGCAGCCAGGGGCTTTCTATATGAGAATGGAGGCAGGAAACACAGCCCATATCTTCCCCTCCCCGGAAGAGTAGTCTAGAGACAGAGCATATTACTTGCTTGACAGAAATTAAAAACAAGAGACTAAGTCAGAAGTTGTCTCCTCTTTTCAACTGATAAAGCACCCTGTCCTCATAGTCAGTGCCCCCTCTGCTTTCACACAGTGGAGGGAAAAGTAAAGCCCAATTTGGTTTTGATGCTTCATGCCATATGCCAAGTCCTTTCAGTGCTGGATCGACTAAGCCAAGGAATTCATCATCCCATTTGTACCAAAATACTATTATTCACCTGTTTGAGCAGAAGCAGGTAGGGAAATATCTGTGCCTGCTCTGTATGATCCACTTTATGCTAGTCTCATTCGGTGCCTTTCTATCCCATAGTGGATCATCACAACTTAATTTGTCATTTAACTTGGAAAATTGACAGTATGAAGCACCAGACAATTTATAATTCATCTGTACATTATACTACATTTATAGTTTATCCATATATTTCAGTACATTTACAGTTCATAGGTCTTTAGTTTACATTAAGTAACTAAATCCAACTTAGCATGACATAATCTATTCATCTTTCTTCATACCAAACCATTACAACCCCACAATAATTGACTACCTCCTTGCCCCAGAGCTTGCCTTTTTTTCAGGAAAGGACTCATGTATAATCCCTGATTCCAAGTTGAAATTTCCTTCTCTTCAGCCACTATAAATTCAAGGCCGTTGCTGACTCTTACAAACTCCATTCCAGCAGTCCTCTAAAAACTGACTCCCTTGACTCCCCTTGCTTGATGCAGCTACCAACACCAAGTTCCATTGGCCTTTACTATTCTTCAACTCCACTGGAATTAGAGTGAGGCCTCCATGGTGAACAAAGCTCTGGACCTGGAATCAAGAAGACCTTGATTCAGATATCTCTATTGTTATATGATCCTGGGTAAGTCACTTAAACCCCCTGGGCATCACTGTTCTTTGTAAAATGAGTGGGTTGACCTTCTAAATCCCCTTCTAGTTCTAAATGTATGATCCATTGCTCATGATGGCTCACTGCAATTAATACTTTTTTTATTTTCTG